CCCCCACCAGACTGTGCTGCAGGCATTCGGCTCTCTCTAGGACCCAGCGCAGCTCTTACATGCTCCACCGCTTGCCCTCTGTCTGGCAGAGCGTGTGGTGCCCCTGGAAGAGCGGTGCCCTACGCCACTGCCTATGGCTAAGGACGGCCCTGGGCATGGAACCTCCATGGCCAGCCTGTCACCAGCTAGGGCTGGCGTTTAAAGGGGCAGCGTCCACCTAGTGAAGCCCCCTGTCCTGCCCCCCCAGCCCCTTGATCCTGAGCCCCTACGAGAGATCGTCTCCCTCCCCCCCCACCCGTTCCTGGTGCTCCTCTCGCAGGGCAGGGCTGATGGGTGGGTGCTGAGGTAGCTGGGAGTGGGGGTGATGAGATGGCAGGGCGGTGGGTGGAGGCGTGGCAGGTGTTTGCCAGGAGTCAGTGAGGGTGGGGAGGAGCCCAGTGCAGCGAGAAGCCAGGGGCACTGCGGGAAGTGGCCGGTGGATCAGGAATGTCCCAACCCACTCCCCTGGTTTAATCTCTGTCTGCCCTAGTGTGCCTGGGCTGCGCGGCCCCATGGCCCCGTACCGCATCCGGCAGTACGAGGACGGTGACTACGAGGCCGTGCGCACCATGTTCGGACGTGGGATTAAGGAGCACGCTCCTGCTGGCTACATCCACGTGTTGAAGCATCCCCAGACCCAGCTGCTCTTCCTTGGCCTGTTCCTGGTGGTGCTTGCGGCCTCCGGGTCCCTCCTGGTCTCCCTCCTGGCTCTCCTGCTCGCTCTCACCGGTGGCTGGTTTTTCATCCGGTCTCTCTGGACCGATTACGTCCAGCAGTCTCTTCGCAATGACCTACTGGACATCCGGAGAACCTACCTGGAGGCAGTAGACTCTTGTCTCTGGGTTGCAGAGGCTGAGGGGGCGGTGGTGGGCATGGTGGGGGCCGTCCTACCCAAGGACTCCTCAGAAAGGGGGCATGCCCTGGAACTGAAGCGTATGTCCGTGGGGAGGGAGCACCGGGGACGGGGCATCGCCAGGGCGCTCTGCAGGACGGTCATCCGCTTCGCCCAGGAACGCGGGTACAGTGCGGTCGTGCTGTCCACCTCCATGGTTCAGTACTCGGCCCAGCAGCTGTACGAGAGCATGGGCTTCCGGAGGGTCTCGCAGAGGTCCCCATCGCTCCTCGCCAGCTTCCTGCAGTTCTCCGTCTTCTATTACCGATACGAGATTCCAGGGTCTCGCTGAAGGCTCAGGGCGGGGCGATTCTTCACCTGCCTGCTCAGCCGCTGGGAGCTTTGCCTGGCTTGTTAATTAACTCCCAGCAAGTTGCTACTTTTTTACCTTTTCGGTTAAAAAATAAACTGAGCTTGGAGGAAAAGTCTCACATGCGTGACACTGTTCTTGTGCTGGTTTGGGATTATTGTTCCTCCAGGGGCTCCCCCTTCCCCGCAGCCACCTGGGTCCCCTGGATCTGAACTTCACCCCTGGAGCTGAGCCGGCCGGGATCAGACTCACCCCCATTTGCTCAGTGGTTCTAGATGATCCCTGACCCCTAAAGAACCAGGTGACCCTGGCAAGGAAACCTCCGTGAAGGTTCATTTGAATTTTCACCCACTCTTCTTTGACAGGTTCGTGTCTCATTCCTGTCACCCACAGAAATGTCCAATCCTTGGATCTTGCCAATTTTTTCATCCCCCACAACATCCAGTAGCAGTGAGTTCCACAGGCTGGCTAGGTGTTGTGTGGAAAAGGCAATTCCTTTGCTAGGTTTATAATGTCCCACCCTTCCCGTTCGTTGGCTGTCCCCTTGTTGGTGTATCCTAAGACAAGGAGAACAGAAGCGCC